TACTTACAACGTGAAATTGTAGAATTAATCATTAAAATGAAACAAGTGTACATACGTGATATTGGAAGTATCAAGAATAACGTGAACCAAAATCTGCCTCATTTATAATATCTGAGTAATGTAGAAGAGCGTGAAATATAAACCATGTTCGAAACAGATAATTAGATTATTAAATATAGAACAGCGCGAAAATTTGATGTTTTTGCTAGTCACATAACGTATCCTGTCTGATGAATGACACCAACAAATTAGATTAATAGCACTAAGGAATTCTGTTATCGCCTAACACTAAATGAAGATCTAATGAAAACCAGAAATGAGTCGATAGTTGGTCCACTTTGCTTTGAGATTTTCGAATAATGCAACCTCAAAATTACACAAATGGTCGAACACAGAGGATTGAAGACAAGTATTTTATTATTTATGCTAATGACTATTTTTCATGTTGGAATATTGAATAATCCACTTCTCGTAATTTAAATTTTAAGAGTTTATGTCATTTTTCAAAATATATATTATATAATGGCGTAAACAACATAAATGTTTTTCAAAATAAGACACATAATTACTGAAGAATAAAGTCAAACTATATTTGATAAATATTTTGTTCAGTTAGTTTTGAATAAATAAACAAATTAATGACAATTTATTTTTTTAGAAAAAATGTAAATGGACATAAATTATTAGAAGTACTGAACTTGTAACCACAATGTTTTTATTAAAAATTCGCTAAACTTTTTATTGGAAATGTTTTAAAGTACTGATAGAAAAGCATGTTTCGTCAGAAAGTTAGCTTTTCTTCATGTATTTAAGGTTTCGTTACTTAATTGCGTACTTATTTATTAACTTACCTACTTGCTTGATAACGAATAGTGACGATCGTGAAGCATAAGAAACTAAACTGTACACTCTTTTATGGGATCTACTATCCACTTGCTGCCAAGTGTTGTTCATTCTCAGTCAGATTCTATTGTTCGCCTATTTTCCTTTAGCAATGTGTTTCCTATTCACTTTCAAAGTTGCGTCATTATTTCTTCATCAACTGGAAACTAGTCTGTTCTCTACCTCAGTAATCTGGCTACACCATCTGAATCATTTCGAGCCGAAAACTGTTTGTAAATACCTTTATCCTTCTTTATCATAGTTCTTCAATCTTCAGCTTCTTACATTAGAACTACATTAACTCTGTGTACAAAATTCTGAGTTTGTGTCGTTTCGAATTCTAGATGTAGAAATGTTACCCGTACGTCAATCATTACCTTCAAATTTGCATCAGATCCTTATTTATTAATGACGCCTCCGAGGAGCGTAAGCGTTTTCGCCTCTTCCAGTGCTTCTCCATCAAATGAGATTTCTTTGGTAACAGATGTCGAAAGTATGAGATATTTTGTAAAATATATTTAGTTCGTTACTTAATACTATGGGCTATATGCTTCCATTATCACCTTGATTCAATTATTAGGCGGAGTGTTGCATTTACAGTTATTTTAATTATAAATTTTCCAATTCGAGTTATGGAGACCGGTGTTTTTATAGACTGATATCACCAATCAATCATTGTTAGGTCAGCATTGGAAACCTGGAACCACTTGACACCCATTTCGTCCTCCTATGGGGCAGTGCGGATCCACGAATCTTGCTACCCACGAGGTTCGAACCCAGGACCTCGGTCTTGGGCGCTAACGCCTAACTTCTGGACCACTAAGCTGGCATCCAACGGCTTTCATGTCTAACTTTGATCAGTCTAGGGATTATGCGCAACCCCACCCATTTTTATTATAGCTAATCATACTCAAAATTTCTAGTTCTTGTTATCAGTAGGTAACCGTTGAATATAACAGGTAGTTCACCAGTTAACTCTGGTCCCGATCCATGCATTTTGGTGGGTTATGGTCTGACTTATATTTTAATTACATCAGTATAATTTGACTGTTCATTCGGGACTCAGTCAACTCAAAGTGAAGTTGCTTGGTTTAGACTTTTTATAATTTGAATACAATTTCTGTCATTAAGAAACTATTAAAATTAGAGATTTCAAAATTAAAGAGATTTTTATTCATCTTTTACAATCACACTTATTTAATTACAAACTTATATTTATTTGGTAAATTATATTCATTACATTTTTTAGATTTATATAACAGTCATTCGATTCCTTTCTGTAAAATATTTCATAACTTTTGCAAAATCAAATGAAATTTTATTTCTAATTTAGGATAATTTACGCTTAATTACTACATATTTGAAAACATTATACTTGCAGAGTTTTCCTTATTCCATAATAATGGATGCCACTAATTTGCATTTCTATGACAGCGGGTTATGTTTTAGTTTGTTTGAAAAATTTTCTCTTTTATTTCAGCAAGTTATATATATACATATATATATATATATATATATATATATACTCATCTGTCAATTAAATCAAACTTTAACTTAATTCATTATTCATTAGTTACATCAAAAGATTTTCTGTATGCAATTTCCAGAGATATTTTGTAGGACAAAAGTTTTATCTATAAATATCTATAATGACAGATTGTATTAATAGAATCAATAAATGAGTTCAGTCGGTGAAAAAATACTGTTGTAAGTAAATGGAATAGTTTGTTTCAAATAATAGAAATCAGGATTATCTTAAATAAATTGTAGACTATCAACCTATCTCTATATTACGGCTGTCAACCGGATCATGATGATATTAACATCTACATGGAAGCAGGGGATACAAGGGACCTCCAGAACGTGGCTGAGCGATCAGAACTTCGCAGATGATTTGGCTCTTTTATCCAACATGCAGCAACAAATGCAAGAGAGGACGACGAGTGTAGCAGAAGCTTCAGTAACAGAAGGTCTCAACATACATAAAGGGAAAAACAAGATTCTCCCATACAACACAACATGCGCCAACCAAATCACTCTTGGTGGACACGCCTTGGAGGATGTAGAAACCTTAACATATCTAGGCGGCATCATTGACAATCAAGGTGGATCTGCCTCAGGTGTGAATGCGCGAATCGGCATAGCAAGTTCAGCATTTGTACAACTGAACAACATCTGGAACTCTAAACAACTATCGACAAACACTTAAGTCAGAATTATCAATATAAACTGTATAGGGGGGAAACTTGGAGAACTACGAAAACCATCATCCAGAAGATACATGTATTTATTAACAGTTGTTTACGCAAGGTATTTCGAATTCGTTGGCCAGAAACCATCAGCAACAACCCACTGTGGGAAAGAACAAAGCAGATTCCGGCAGAGGGAGAAATCAGGAAGAAGCTCTGGTGGTGGATAGGACACACATTGAGGAAAGCACTCAAATGCGTCACAAGTGGAGCCCTCACTTGGAACCCTTAGGGTCAAGGGAAAAGAGGAAGGTCAAGGAACATATTAGGCCGAGGACTAGAGAGAGATATGAGAATAATGAGTAACATTTGGACAGAACTAGAGAGGAGGACCTTGGACAGAGTAGAGTGGAGAGTGATGGTCGGCGGCCAATGCTCCATTGGGAGTAACAGGCTAAAGTTGGTAATTAAGACTCACTGTACTCTAGATCAAAAAATAATTAATACTATGCTTTAATTTTCGCTGAAATTCACCGATAATTCACAAGTTACCTAAAACTAGCTTAGTTAAATTTTAAAATTTTTGAAAGATAATTTGATTTCAGAATTTTAATTAATTATATATTAAATCATCTATCAGTGGACGTTACTTATAAGATAGCTTACAAGTAGGATGCAGCAGAATGTGACGTGGAAGTAGCTGTCAAAGAGAAGAGTTTCAATAGATCGAAGAGTACGGTTGTTTGAGATCACACTGTCAAAGGGTAATCGATAAGTATCATTGTAAATTGTCATAAAAATATCAAACGGGATAACGATGAGCATTTTCTACACATTTTTCTTTTAAAGGATATCGTCTGCAATAATTGATCTACTTATATTTTACCAAGTAAATGAATGTAATTTTTGAAATTAGTGATTAGATTATTTACAATAAACTCTAAACTGTTGGATTAATTTATTAATGTCAAGAAAATGTTAACTGAGATTTAATGGAATTCAGTGTCTCCCAACCTTAGATATATTCAGTATGTGCAAATCGAAAAAGTTAATGCCATTTTACGTCAAGCCAATGAGTTTGGATGGACACTAATTGAGGAGTCTATATCAGATTTTATCAAAACATACGTATATTCAAATTAATATTGTCGGATAAGAATAATAGGTCAGTCCACGCGATTATCAATCAATATGACAGCTGATGAATCTAGGCTATTAAGCAACAATGTGGCCATTAATCCAGGTAACTCGACAGCGATTGTTCTACATTCAGATGTTAGTAGATTAATGATGATCTGTAGAAAATATTTAACGCAGATTTAAACAGCTCACTGATTACGTCTAAGAATGAAAGACTGAGGAGCTTGAGTTTGAATATCATAGCGAGCTCTAGTTCCCTCGATAATGAATTTACACCCTATTGATGAGTTCCAACTAGCGTAAAACCCAGATTTTTAATTTCCTGTTGAATATCTTTATCTACCGATTAGCAAAATGGATTATTTCAAATTGAAGTGCTTTTCAATTCAATTAAACTCTACTTTCTAGTCATCAAAAAAAAAATAATAGCACAACAAAAATAAAGTTAACTTTTTATGCAATCACTCTTATTTATATTTCGTATTGTAAAAAAAAGTAATTCCTAAATAGTAATTTCTGTCTTTCACTACTGTCACTGCATGTTATTATTCTACCATGTAAATTTTCACGGTATTCATGCTGTAAAATCAATCGTCTATTCACCTAAGATTCGATACTGTTTATGTAAGATCAGATTGTTTTTTTTTTTGAATTTTGGGTTGTTCGCAGTTTATTGATGTGTCTATTTGATAGCAGAATATATACGACTTTAATCGATAATCAATAATATATATATATATATATACAATGAAATCGTATGTTTTGAATAAATTTAAAATAAATGAGGAATCGATATCTGTTTCGCCTTATTGTCACTTAAAGATAAAATCAACTTCGAGTGGTACAAGATCTTGCCAGTGATCAGTTTTGAGACAGATTTTCCAAATTCTAAATAAAATACCGTGATTTTTAAAGTGTTGTGAAGCTCACTGAAGTACTAATACGTTCTGATATTGACCGACAAAGCAGTGTATACCGTGTGGAAGCCCTGAATAAATTTTTTCCAGTTGCCACCATTGGAGAGTGAAAAGAAGAAATATATCAGTCTTAATCTACTTCATTAGCAATAACCTTCAAGTTGACCTCAATTTCTAGAGATAATTCCTTGCTAATAATATTGTTACTGAAATACTTTACGGATTTGATCGATAAATTGGTCGGACAAGCAGAATCAGTATCGAAAAACTTTACGGTTTATCTTACGACTTCAGTATTGCATAGAAGCTTACTGAAGTCTCATTACTTTTTATCCATACACAATAGTTCTCGTAAGTCATAAATTTTGTTTTCGTATCTAAAAAAAAGATATCAACGAATTTCATAAAGTATATAATTTTATTTTTGTTTCGACGAATTCACTTATTGAATTTAATTGTTAAATAATAATTTATAGGCAAAACGAAATGGAAAAAATCCGTTATCTTGCTTAATAAAGATTTATTCTTCATAAAACTTAGTTAGGCAGTTGATGATTTCTCATCATTATGAATATTATACAAAAACGTATCTTCTATCTATTAATTAAAACTTTAAATTAATCTAAGAAACGATCGATTCTATTCATTTTTCAAAGTAAGTATATGATGTTACTATTAAATATAACGAAACTAAGTTGTTTAATTGATATTATTGCCAGTACTACTAGTGCTATTACTACTACTACTACTACTACTACTACTACTACTACTACTACTACTACTACTGCTGTTGTAGTTCCTAATGGTACTTGTAATTAGTTCTACTACAACTCACCAGTAATATTGAAACTATTTGAAAATCAAATAGTTTAAAATGGACAATAACACATTCATCGCTCGCCTAATCAATTTGTTAGTTAACATTTTTCACGTGTTTCAATGCATTTAGTTTGAATCTAGAATAAACACAAATGGATAGAAAAAAATTTATTTATTCTATTTCGAAACTTTGCATCAACCGTAAACGCCCTAATGTTATTTTAAAAAAAAAGTGTTATTCAGAGGACACTTCTACTCTGTGATGATCAATTCGAAACACGATAGGAGATAAAAACAAAACAGTAAGATAAAATTTAAAAAAAAATCTAATAGTTGCTAATAATGAGTATTTTTATACTGAAAAAGAAGTCTTAAAGAAGGTTAACATGTCAAAAATACTAATCCAGAATCGAAAACAATAACTGAATATATAAGTGAACAGTTCATTATACCATTGGTTTGATAGTGTGATTAATGAATATTAGTGTAATGCTTGAAATATATGAATTGATTTTGAGAGAAATGATGTAATAAACAATCTTTGTGAATTATATTCCTCGACTTTAAAAGTATCAATACTCACAAGAACAATCATTAGACATTTAACTGTGAACTTCAGTAAGCAGTAAATTAGAATTGTCAATGTGTAAAATAAATTATGGGTTCATATTTAGTGAGTTGTTCTAGTGATTTCTAATTTTTTTTGTCAACACTTTGGTTCAACATGATGTTTCGACGCTAACCTAACTTTTTTCATTTCTTTGTTCTAAGTAATAGCTTAAACAAGTGAACGTTTGTTTAAAAAAAGTCCAATGTTATCTAATCAGTCTGTATGTCTCTCTCCAGTTTTTACTTTTCCTAACCAATAATCACTTGCAAACCATTGCACTAGTTAGGGTGAAAATGTTTAAAACAGACAGTCAGAATCGAAGAATATTGAAGCAACCTTTTCAGATAGACATGTGTCAACAGTGAATGGTCAAAATTCAGCTTTGAATGTTACTTACAGGGTGGGAAAAGGATTTTTAAGATTACATTAATTTAGACTGTGTTTCTTTTGTTGTTATTGATAAAAAAGTTAGTATGAAATTCAACTTGATCAGTGGAATTATATCATGCAGTGAGATGTAGATAAGCTTCAGTTTAATTTAGCGTTAATCAAACAATTATACTTTAAATCGACTTATTTAACTAGAATCATGTCCAGGATAGGTTTGTGGAGGTTCTTGAATTTCATTGAAATCATGTTAATGTATCAACTTGCTTATTATACCCAGTATCATAGTTGTTCAACCATTATTGGGCATTGTCTTCAACACAGTTTTAATGAATTTAGCTGGTAAAAACGTTTTTCAAACAAAGATTCATTATTATAAAACCCACTCCAAAGTTATGGGGAAAAAGGATTATCTCAGGATTAGCTAATCCATATAAAAAAAACAAACGCAAGTTATCTCATCTCGTTTACCTTCTGATGACAAATAAAGAATTATTTCGGTCAATCTTTGGTTGACCGTTTTTTGGAATCTCGAAACCATATAAACAGTCGTTTACAAGTGAAATATTTCTGGGTCAAAGCCTCTTATTGAAGTCTCATGTTTGAAAGTCGTTTCTCTGAGTGTTTGAGCGCCCTACTAGGATAAAATGTTTTATCCTCTTTTTTATTGTCCTAAAAGTACGAGATAGTTCTCTACAAAGCAGAAAAGGATTTTACTATGGTTGCTCAGATAACTAAATGATTTTTGAAATTGTTCTGTTCATTTCAGCTTGTTTTGTGGAAAGCTTACGACCTATAACAACCTGAAATCGATATTGAGCTACACGTAATTGAACATGAGATTATTAAAAATTATTTAATATGTTTCGGAATGGCCTAATTTTAGATAACATAAAATTTATTGTAATTTACTTGTATGCATTATTTAACTGCAAAGTGACCAAGAAAATTAACCTGCTTTCTTAGCATCGAAAATCGTTTTGACCTAGATAATGAATTTGATGTCTCTTCAATGAAGTAAAGAATCACGTTTCGTAACTTTATCTCATTTTAGATAGTTCGTACACAATAATAACTAGTTTTTCTCTGTTTTTTACTGAATATTTATGCCAGTACCATTACTTTCTGTGTTCTAGAGATTTACACGCTGATATATTGTGAGTTCGATTATTTGGAAGCTCCAGGAACTCTCCTATTGTAGAACTCAATGATTCTTGTATCAAGACGACAAATCACTGTTTGTATGCCACTTATATCTTTTAATTCAAAGCAAATTTGCCCGAAAGTTTTTCTGATGCATGTCTCAATCGTTCTGAATACATATGGTAGTGACTAGTGCATAAACACATACTAATAATTTTCTGTTGAGTGCATACAATTTACTCCTAGACCTGACGCGAATCACAAGTATTTCCTTTCCCGAATCCATGGATTCTGTGCATTTTTTTAAAACATCAATCCTAACAGACACAAATGTATCACAATTTTACTTTCTCTAGCTCATACTTTTAATTCATTCAGCGAAATGAAAATAGCAGGCCTCTTATACAAAACAATACTGTTTATTGATGATTCAGCTAATTGTAGAATGCTTCTTTAACTAGTCTACCCTAACTAATGATGATATGTGTTGAGAGGTTTATTTGAATTGCTTTTTGAAGTCCCAAATATCGGCTAAATTCCATTTTACACATCCACTAGATAAAATCTGACCAACAAAGTAGACCATACTTTTAAACTTCAACATAACAATATTCCAGGATATTGAAGTTTATCGAAACTGTTACGACTCAAAATTGTCTGTTCATTAAGACTTTCATTCAAATAAGTAACAATTTATTTTAAATACTTGTATTAGTTAATTGGATATTCGAGGACATTTCTAAATCTATTTCTAGGCCAGTAAATTAAATCAATTAGTTTTGAGAAGTATCATGTCACTTAGCTTTTAATAAAAAATACTTTGGGAGATTGTTATTATTTCTATAAAATATAACAAAAACATATCACTCTACATACTGTGTTCATTTTTTTAAGTCCTGACATTCAAATATTATGCATGTCTGTTAACGATCAAAATTTTCCACTATGACCTTCAACAGAGAGTTTCATTGGTGAATCATTTTGTTATGCATAGATATGCGTGTATGTGACTGGCTTTAATAAGTTAAACAAATCAAAAGTCTTCTTCCAAACCGCATATCGTGACCGAACTAATCACCCGAAAACATATATAATCGTTGGTAAATTGACCGGTAAACCCAAGCTGTTCATAATTTAAAATAACAGGACAACTATCTCAATAATGGGTGGAATATTTAAGAATGGAATCCTATTCTGGAAAAACTTCTCAGTTGATTTGAATGATCCTACATACAAGTCAGATATGGATCTTGTGGAGTGTGGTTCAGGAAAACTTCATGCATCTATTGATAAGGTAAATATACATACCAAACTTTATAGTTCATATTAAATAAAATTTTAATAAAGCGTTTTCATTATATTGTGTAATAGAAATTCTCTATACTTGTAATTTCATTTTCTGTATTAGTTTTCATTTTTGTTGAACCGTAAGTATACTAAATCTGAATATACTCCAACTGAACAAACTATTCATAAAATGATATTACATTAAGTGTATTGTTTCAGTGTCTTCATTAAAATCTTCACTCACACTTAAACTTACCGTTTCAACCAGCTACCATCATCTCAACAAGAACTGAAAACACATTCTACTAATGAACAAAAAGCTGAATTATCAACGTTTAATTCCCCAATCGGAGTGCTACTTTCTTGTTTGGGTTGTGTTATAGGGACAGGTAATATATGGCGATTTCCACGAATTATTGCCACAGCCAGTTATTCTCAAGGTCAGTAACTTCTTTTATACCTTATTGATGTTTTCAAATACATTCAATAAATTTTTTTTCTAATTGCTGCATCAGTTGACTGTAAAATTCGACACAGAGAAACTCTTCATTGACTACGACTACCTAACTGATTTGATTTGTTGGCGTTAGAGATCACGGCCCTGTCTGGTTTTTAAATAAATCTATAGTTAAAAGACAGATAGAATCTAACTAACTGAATAGGATATGTCTTTTATATACGATAATAAGACATAGTATCTTTCACATTGTCACTTTAGCGCAATACAACTGTAGTGTCTGACCAACTGTTGATTCCATCAGCCTTAAATCTACATGAAATAAATGGCTGCGTTACCGTAAGAATCCACAATGTACTTTTATATAGTGCATTCAATTTCGATGCATGATAAACTATCATTAAGTCTACCGCGTATATACTAGTGAGGTTTATTGACTAGGACAAAACATGACCGTTTTTTCGGCGAAAATTGCACTCTTGCATAGAAACTAATTTTACTCATCAACTTAACCTTTGTCCTATATTATATATGTATATATAATTTTATTGCTAATCTTAATTTTAATTAAACTCAAATAATTTGAAAATTAACACTTGCAGTGGTCTTATACTGATTTCATTGATACACGTACATTGAAATATGCATAGGTTAACCAATCAACTGTGAAGGTGAATTTATACTGACTTTTTCTTATTAACATGCGATTTACACTTTGTAATAAGAATTGAAATTTCGAAATGTACCTACAAGTGTAATAAATAACTAAATGGAAAAAAATTTAAAAATTGAGGTAAATGCATTTACTTGGAAAGGACAGATATATATATTTGATTATGTAAATAAAATAGAAGTGTTTTCACTGGCAATCATTAGATATGTTATTGTTTTTCGAACCATTTTAGGAAGTCTAACATTTCTGATTGCTTGGGCAATGTCATTATTTGTATGGTCACTACCATTAAGTATTGTTGAATATACACTGGGCCGATATACTCGAACATCTCCACTTGGTGCATTTCACAGATTTTTGGGCAATAAATTGGTATGGTTAGGAGGATGGATTGTGGCTGTAACTTATATGATCACGTAAGTAGAATTCTAAATAAATTTCTACTCAACAAAATACCCTAAGTCGTCGAATTAAGAAGAAATGAAACTTTCTCTACTACTGCATCATAAATGAAACAATATCAGGTAGTGAAAATTGAATACAGGTAGTTTCACTTTTTATTTATTTATGTCACACTTTTAATTTCAGTTGAACTTAGTTTGAAGTTTTAAAAACTATCCGAATCATAGAATTGTGCCCATATATATGTAAATTACAGATGTAAGATAATCTCATGTTATAAAATTGAATTACCACTGGTGTTCTATAAAACAACTATTCCTTATAAGTAAATGAGATTGTACTAACTTTTCAGCTAATATAATAATCTGAGCACACTTCAAAATAGTTCATTTGGGTCCTATAATCGATATGTCACTTTATCAATCTACTGCAATGCTCAGAAATAATTAATGTATCACAAACCTAAGAAAAAATTATTATCCATATTGGGATTAGATTATCCCCACTCTAGCCATATTAACTCTGAACAGTTAGAAGATTATTTTTTACTGTTTACACAACGTCTAAACGATCATACATAACTCACTTAATTAGGCAGTAATATTTGCCTACTTAATAATGAATGAGGCAAATACGCATAGTAATTCCATTTATTTATTATTGGTCATTTATATATTTATAAATATAGTTTTCATGTTAAATGTTAATTGTAGCTAGTTATTTATAATTTGAGTCTCTACTCATCAAAGTGTTTTTGTTTATTTTTAAATTTTAGTGCCTACTTTTCAGTCATTGTTGGTTGGTGTTTATATTATTTTTATAAATCTTGCGCATTGCCAAGTTTGCCGAGAGATGTAGAAACAAGTATTAAAATATTTAATGAATTTGCACAGGTATTTGGTTTTTATTTTTTTTCAAGTTATTTATGCAACTATTTTACAATATTTGATAACTATAGACGTTTAACAAATAATTTACTCACAAGAGGGGTTTATAGAGATTTTTTAAATTTGATAGGTAACATGATGGACTGATATTTAGTTAGGAATTCAGTGACACCAAGAAGTAGTGAACAGCGACCAAGGATTGAAATCCAGAACTCCGATCTCTAGACAATGAGTCTCAGCCCAACAGTTAACATGTTTAACTCATATCACTTCATAATATTGTAACCGTATTCTTGTATACCTGACGGGTAATTGCTAAACAAACGATGAGGTTGCATTTCATTGGTCACATATTCAAGCTAGGACTTGGGGTCCTAGAGGTTCACTACTGAGAAGTTCCGTATTAGGATAAAAGAGTTGTACAATGTTTCTTGGCTTACACTGATTATTTAGCTAAGATCAATCTATGAATTCAACTGTGAAATGGCATAATATTCCATTAATAACTCACCAACCAGAATGTTTAATCACAAAAGATGCCTACAATGTACATCAATAAGAACTTGGAATTATTGTGAAGCTATTTTCTCAGTAGCTGTGAAATTAGAGTCGCTTTTCCAATGGAATTTGTGTTGCCTACAAATGAATTCAAGTAACACCATGAAGTTATCAGCCGGAGGATAATCAAGGTCATTTTTCAAATAACTTGTGACAATTGGTAGACTTCCTATTCATAATCAATACTCCTTTACTTTTTTCGTGTATTACAAAAACTACGCTTTCCTTCCCTAGAAGGTCAATCTTTGCAGTTCAATGATTGTTATTCAAATACTCACATATTTCATCTAAATCTGAATTGTTTATAAAAAAAAGTTGGAAAGCAATAACTAATGCACAGTTTATTTACCCCACTGATGATTTACAGATTATCAATAAAAAAGTAAATCATGATAATTTTTTCATTTGTAAGTTTTTTATTCAAACAAAGGTCATTTTGTCTTTTCCTTTCTATTTGTGATCTTTTCTATAGGAATCTTACTGGCCTGTATTAACGCACACATTATCTGTTGTTATTGTTGGTGGATGTATATTTGGTGGTATAAAATGGATTGAAAAAGCTAATATGGTATTAGTACCTATGTTATTAGGTATATTGGCTTTCACATTTGGATGGTCATTAACGAGACAATATTCAGAAGTTGGCATTACATTTTTATTTACTCCATACTGGGGTAAGTTTCAAAATATATTTTATACAAGTTATTATTTTAAACACACCTTACTTTTGGTTGGAAATTTTCATCATTGACTAGTATCAGTTGAAGAATTATTTAAAATGATAAGGTACTTAAATGTTGCTTAACTTTAAGGTGGGACTGCTAAGCAGAATGCTTGGTTAACCATACACAGAATTCAAAGTCAGGACCCTTTCAGACATCAAACCGACTTCCATACGATTTAGCATTTGAGGCAAAATTCACACTGGTTTATGTAATCAGCTTTATTCATTTTTCGATACAACATTATCCTGAATATTTAACCTATTAATGAATTGGATTAACCCGTAATATCCCGTTAAAGAGTTGCCCAAAATAAGACATTTTCAAAATACACTTTTTGCATCATTGGTGAATTCTTTATTTCTTAAAACACAACCCTGGTATCTAGTCATAATTTCGAAATCCATGCAAACTGAATCTTATTAATGTTGAAACCAGCATTGTTTTATCGATGTTTTTTTTCTGATTTGAATAGTTGTCATCACAACCCTCAGTGAAACAGATTTTTTACAAAACATAGCTTTTATCATAGATATATTTCTAAAAACACTTGCGTAAACTTTTAGGAGATCTTCTTAATAGATATCGAAATAATAACGACAAATTAGTACCTCATCGGACTACTAAATTTCATTAAATTATTATTTAGTGTGTGGTGAAATCGTTGCACAAAACTTCATTGGATCAAGTCGTCCAGTAAAGTACACAAATAAAGTACAATTAGTCTAGCATAAATCGGTTCATGCTTTCAATGGAATTCAACAATTCCCACAACCCGTTGCTGAAAAAGTCAGATGGAAGAAGTGGTAGAACAAGGGAAACGCTTATTTTTAGTATCCAAGATGCATAAATGTAAATAAATATGATGAAAACAATTATATTGTTATTCACTGCCACTTCACATCAATTTTTTGTCGGGTACAGAAGCCACGGCACTAGGTCAAATTTTGATTGGTCTGATTATAAACTGTGAACGAATTCAATTGAAAAATGGACTGTCAGTCGACTAATTTGCTAGAATATAAGCTACATATGATATCGGTAATACTAATCTTCTTTATATCTTTAGTTTGCATTAAAAGGTTAATCAAATGTCATACCAGATGATGTGATGTTATTTGATCTTTATTTTTAGGTAGCATGTTTACTCCCAGTTTGTGGGTTGCTGCTGCTAGTCAAAATGCTTTCGATACGGGTGCAGCTATGGCTTTATTCATTTCCTATTCATCATACTTTAATCGGAAAAATGGTGCTGTACGCCTCGGCACCATGATTCCGATGTGTAATAATATGGTCAGGTGAGGCATTCAGTTTTGGTTTGATAATCAGCTAAGGTTATTTCTGTGAACAGCGTCCTCAATGTTACGGAGGAAAACAGTAAGATACAAGCATCTAGATAGTCACAGGTCTACCAGACTGATGGGATAAATAATAATGATTAATAAATAATTGCAAGTGTTTGACAGTGACAGAACATTCAAAGAGAACAACACAACTAATTAGTTGATAAAGTTTTGTCAAAATTATAAAGATGAATTCAACAGGACTCTCTTCGAACGGCACTTGCACTTGCTGTTCGGTTTGCATTTCAGAAAAATTGATAAAGATTTCCAGCAATCTATAATGTTTAATTCAATGTTTAATTAAATCACTATTATTGGAGTTTCCTATTGGTTCAAATGAATGTTTTGTCAGTATCACGTGCTTATTTTGTTAAAAGAGAAAGCTGTACCCCAAGAAAAAAAGGGAAGGAAGGATATTAGACTGGATTAAGGGATTGATGATGATGCCATCATGTGGACAGACATATAAAGTGCTACAAGACAACAATAACAAATCAAAATGACCAAAATGTACATCACTTTTATTGTTTATTGTTATTATCAAATATTTGTTTTCGAACTAGTTACCCAAGAGAGAATAAAAAACATAAACAAATTATATCCTTCATTGTATATGCAAGAAAGGAGTAGCTTATATCATATATTTAGATGGTATGTAGAACCAAACAGCACAACTCAATGAACATATATATCAACCGTCTGTAGAAGCAACAAATATCTTCAGATATTCAGCTAGTCTGTTATTTAATCGTAATTATAGGTTTAAGTAGTTTAGAGATAACGATCATTCGTCAAGAATAAAGTAGTCAAGTTAGAAGTATTGATGGATTACAACGCTCATTCTTATGAGTTTGAATACCTAGATAGATAGTAGGGATCGAATAGGAACATGGTTGCGGAATAGATCAGAATTGAGGATAAAGTAATTGTGAATACATTGAACAGGTAGTTAATGCAATAAACAACTGATCAAAGAGTTATCAGGAAGGATTTCTATAATGAATGCATCAGGAATATACGATATGGTATGATCCGAATTAATTGACAAACAGATTTGTTTATCATTGCAATTATTATAATCATATAATCGTTTGATACTTTATCATTCAATCAGTTAGTGTTTCCTAATTTTGGATTCATCTCTATACGCTATGTTGTTGTTGTTGCATCCTGTTCCTCCTCCTTCTCCCCTAGTTCAATCAGCCAGTGAAGTTATTCTGGTTGTTAGCTGCATGGTTTTCCACGTATCCGTGCATCATATTTAGTCTTCCAATAAAAATTAAAACATCACTTTGATGCCGTAAGTTTCACTCCATTTTTGGAGTGAATACAATTCCATTAAATCAATTTTCGCTTGTTACACAAATTCACCTTAGTTAGTAGTTCACTTCAACATCTTAGTTAGATCCACTATATCAATGAGAAGGAAGGGTTAGGTAAACAATGTAATATAAATAGTATCAGATAAGTTAAGTTAGGTTTAAGTTAATCACATCACTAAGTCAGAAATGTGTAAACGATTACGTCAACAATGATTTTCATTACGAAAATTATCCGTCGAATAAACTGCAACATATACATTGAATTGCATTTCCATCATAACATACTACTTCCCTTATGTTGGTTTCTCTTCGAAGCAACTAAAATTAAGTACCAACTCAAATAATAAAACACACAACCCAAACAACAAAAATACTACTTCATGTACATTATTCTTCTTTCTTGCATTCATTGAATATTATATATAGAGATAAGATTTATGTTATTTCTTAATTAAACATGGGGAATTTGTGTGCTTATTGTTAATATTATTGTTATTATTTTATTATTATCATTATACTTGTTATGAATATATTTTTACGTGTATAATTGCTATATATATATGAGTATTTTACTTTATTTTATATACATATATAATGATATTTTAATTAACGGTATTATTTGATTAAACCAAAATAAAAAGTAATAATTTCTTGTTTCATTTTCATGAAATGTAATCTATCTACTCATATATGAAAGATGCATAGGGATTGTTATTGAAATGAATAGTTTCACGTTAGACTTTTTATCAGAATTAATTCATCTGAAACATCAGATTTTAACAACTGGTAAAGTATAACACTATAGGGGATTTTGATTAGAATAGAAAATGTAAGTTTACGTCAGATCTTTCACTTCAATAAGAAATTAATAAGATAGATGATTATTGAAAAGGATATTTACACGGCTTGAATTATTCAAAAGAAGAATTATTAAACGTGTACAATTTAGTTCATATCAATCTGTGAACAGTTCACATTACACAGTATTTATAATCAAACCATCATACAACAAATAAGAATAATATCAATGCTAGTGATGATAAATATCTCGTTAAAGAAGTTAACCATATGTTTTCCTACTACGTATTATGGTGAAATTTCTTTGAACAAACTAGATTTTACTATGTTTTCTTAACGAAACAGCTAGTAGACGCTACATCCAGCATCATCTAAAGTAACTAAAGGATAAGTTGAAATCTAAGTTTAACATATACGATTATTGGTTAGTGTAGTATATAATTAGATAGTAATCAGTGTATTGGTAAACTATCTTATTACATTCATTCATTCACTTCCTATCAGACTTACTAACAATAATTCAGCGTCGTCGGTTAATTTCGTTGCCTATGGAAACGATGTAGTTTCCAGTAGCTTACTTAATTAGTGAATAAAATTATTTATCCCACATAAATTTAGGTTGTAATAACTTCTTATGCCAATAAAATCTTCTTGATGATATGTTTGTTGAAAAAAATGCATACTCACGTTCATGATGACATCATTGATAAGATAAAAACTTATTTTTTTATCAATTTTCTTTCTTATAATTTGTATAAACGTTTGTTGGATAACTCTGTCACACAGTAAGCAATGTTTTTAACTTGCATTATCTATTAATTGTTAAATAAAATTAATATAATGATTGATTCATTTTCTCAATGCATATTTACAGTTTACTCTGTGCGCTAACAATCTTCTCAACTGTGTTTTCAACTTTAATACAAACATCACCAACATTAACACGTTCTGGAATCTTGAAAATAATGCAATCGAACGGACCTGGTAGCACAGGTCTCACATTTACCTGGTAATTGTTTGATTATTTTTGTAAACATATTGAGCTTTAAGTTTTTTTCTATCTTTAATTATTAGTGTTTGAGCATGTTATTGACATAAATTACAAAAAAAAATTGATTTTAAATGCCCTAAGTTCATCAACAGGTATCAAGTGGTTTTGTTGATTTATATATTTAGCTTGAACAACTGTAGTAGTAGTAGTAGTAGTAGTAGTATTGGACATTTTGATGTTATTAAATATGATAAATTATTTGTCTACTTAAGGATCCCTGTCCTATTCGCTTATGTTGGTGGTCTTGGAAGAGTTCTATGCTCATTGTTCTTTTTATGTCTTTCCTTCGCTGGGATTACTTCATTACTTGGACATGTTCAATTGACAGTTGTAACAGCAAAGGACTTGGGTTGTAAGTTTGAAAACTCGTTTTTTGTTATGTTTTTTTAATGTTTTTAATTATAACCTTAGCATAGGTCAAAATCATGACCATATAGTAGTTATATTTAAATTCATCCCATTAATGTGATCGAACTGCAATTCTGAAGACGATAAACATAGTTGAGTCTTGTTAATTACAGTAAATCTGCACGATCGATAGAACCTAATCATCATCATAGACTACTTACTACTCAGTGAATAAATGATGTAAACATGTATTCTACAGAGGGTGAAGCACAACTAAAATAGCCTCTATGTTAAAGTCTGCAGCTTTAAAAGAAGTTGTTTAAAAAATTTCAAACTAATATGAAACACATTCTTAGTGCTTTCTAGTTTCTCAATAACTCCCGAATGAAAAAAGGCTTTCTGAAAAAATAAAATTTCCATCGCACTAATGAATAATCATTTCCGTAAAAACTTTAAAATTAGTTGATAAATGATAGTTTTTTGCAAATAAAGTCTGCTTGATAACTCAGTCTTACATTCTTTCTCTCTAGCCAGCTCTCCATTATTCATCCAAATCACCAGTTAAGTAAAATTTATTTCTATTATTTATCAACTAATTGACAAAAAAAAGTGATTTCGCTACTCTCTTTATAATCAACTGGTCGATTTTAAAAAATTACTCATATTCAGTTCAGTCTGTAAACGTTAGACACTATAGATTGCTTAAAAATCGTTTTTCTAACTGTTCATTGATTAATGTCTATAAATATGACTTTTTTTAATCATAGTAAGTCATAGACAAGCGGCATTTGCTGGTTTATTCCTCACTCTTGCATTCGGTATGCCTTCTGCAATTAGCATAAATGTACTCACAAATCAGGTTAGTTCTGGTTTACAGTTATTGAGCAGTTTTTTTTTTAATTACCTTCCATAATTTTATGTTTACGTGACTATGGTTATATACCCCTCTCTCGTCTTTCCATATATTTCACGTATTTGCTGAATGGTTTCCATTAATTACTTACAAGTCCGTTTTATAAATAAATAATTTTTTTTTGATAAAATGATGTACGTGTCAGTAAGGTGTCTCTGAAATACATATTAAAGTTATGCATTCAGATTCATTAGATTATGAAGACTACCCTAAAGTTTTCAAGCACCGCATGATGTTGACAGATAATCGATTAAGTTTATCCAAGGATTTGAAATTACATCTTTCTTTTTTTCTACACAAGAGGTGCATCAAACTAATACTTAAGAGTTATGTGTCAACTGACTGTATTTTATAAACTGAATATTTCTTAAGTAAAATACTTCAATTTGATCTATGGTAAGGACTGTTCCATTTTAAAATATTCTCAAACCCCATATATGAGAATCGCAAAGAATTTACCTTTTAGCCTATATAGTTTTTCAATCAGTCAGTCAGTCAGTTGCAACGTAGAACTTCGTACGTAAGTACATCAGTTCATGTCGCCATACCACATCAGCACAGAGATATAACTGTCAATTCAAATCCAATAGTAGAAGAGGTAGTAAAGGTATTAGAAGTAATCGGAGAGGTTAGAATTAGAAGATATTATTCACGAAGTATGATTCAATGAGATAAGTTTAGAAAGTAAAAACTTGAGGTGTTGAAGAATCCAGAAGATTAGGAGTTCAAGAAAAACGAGTTTAAATAAAACAGATAAATGTCAAGTTATGTTGTGGGTATATGTTCGAATTATTGCCCCTGAAGGTAAATTTGTTTGCATCCAATGGATACAATGAATGCAGTTTTTGCTTTGCCGATCTGCGCCCTCACATCTTTATCGGATCCAACTTGATTGTCGATGATGGGGCCAAGATACGTAAATTTGTTAACGTCTTACAAGGCATCTCCACTAAGAGTCATTTGGTTGGCGCATGTTGTGTTGTATCGGAGAACTTGGTTTCCACCTTGCGTATGTTCAGTCTACTGTTGCTGAGGCTGCTGCTACACTGGTTGTCTTCTCCTGCATTTGTTGATGCATGTGGGATAGAAGAACCAGATCATCTGCCTGCACTGATCTTCACCCCGAACGAATCTGTCAGTTGTCTTCTGAGCACAATTTTGCAATTTAACCCATCTTAAGGATTCTGTATCATGTTGACTATCTTCTCAGGCACGCCGTTACGTCGAAGAAGCCACCATGGTGTTTGTTGAAGGCACATAAGTTTCAAAATCTCTAACCATTTTCGTTTCTTTGCTTCAGTCCATATCGTCCCATGATGTCTTCGTATCTAGTGTTATCCATGCCAACCTTGGCCTTTAGGTCTCCTATCACAATGGTCGATTCCTTTGATGAGCATCTATCGAGGAATGACTTCAGCTTCTCGTGCAACTGATCCTTAACCTCGTCATTGTGGTCGTTGGTACGTGCAAAGGATTTGATGGCGTTCATTATAACACCCTCTTTATTTGCTTTGAAGGATGCTTTGATGATCCTGGGTTGTCAGAAGGGACATCGGCATCATGACTTTTGAAGAGGCTCGGATTTCATCATGAAACGTCATAACTCTTCTGAATGAAGACGTTTTAACTCCCAGGGAAGAGTTAAAATGGTTTGAATAATTTTTTTATGGTTGGAGTTTGTTTAGCGAGTTAGTTTTCTACAGGATGGGGTCGTCAACCTAAGCCTCACTCTCTTTTATCCGGGTTTGGGACCGGCAGTAGCCGCAGAGGGGCTGCAGACGGAGTTAATTAAAAATATTACTTTTAGGTTAATCTCTACTAGTGTAGTTGAATCTTGTTATAGACAAAACAACAACGGATTCTCTCTTCACCAAATTACGTTAGATTGATCACTTTCAGGATATTCTAGCAGATATTTGATACTTCTTTATTATAAAGTGTGAAATACCGTTAGTTTTAATTTTTCTAATCAGTGAACAAGGATAAATTTATATCCTCTTCTGTATCAGCTAATCTAAATCTTAGTTGCTGAATACATCAACTAAAGAAACTTTTGGTTTGACTTGTAGAACAACATTATAGTTTAATGTAGAGTATTTAACAGGTATGCAAGTCTTTAACAGGTCATTAATTTATATCACTGGTATGACTGAAAACGTTTTAATTATACGTATCACAGTCTACCACAATGGTATGTTCGAAGTATGGTAGGAAAGACAATAAAACAGTCAGACTAATATGTATTACCATTACATCATAAAAAATTTCATGCGATTAGCCTCTAACCATGTCATAGTGGCACAGATATTGAGCGGTGGGTAATGATTTAAATTTCACGTCAGAAATTTTATGATGGCGGATTATAATTGCCCAAAATAGGCAGTATAATCTGCAGTTTTAACCTTAAAAATGTAGTGGTAAAATCAGATCAATATACATTTTGAGCACCGAATGTTGTAAACGATAAAGATGTTTTGGTTTTAAGCTGAAGCCTATTGTGTTACAAAAGGTCGAAATTTTTGTATGAAAACGTGGTAGTCAGTAGTTCCGAACTAACTCAATTGATACATCATGTGGTAAACTTTCCTAGGTATTTATACAATGTCGTATACATGATCATCTAAATTTGCTTATTTCTGTAGAAAACCATTTTCAGAAATAATAAAAATTTCACTTCTGTGTACTATGACAAGTGTTTTTAAACTCATGTTTTAAACTGTGTGACAGAATAAAAATTTATAAATTTCAGATAATGTCTACAACAGCCTCCTATAGATGTATTTATATAGTATTGATTGCTATTATGATGTTTTGTAGGACAATGTTTGGGGTTTTGCACTTATGCTATCTGGTTTAGCTATGGCTGGTCTAATATTAATTTATGGTCCGATGAAATATAGAAAAGTTATTGTAAATGATTTTGGGATCGGTGATTGGAAACTACCAATTGTTTGGATCTTTATGATAAGGTTTGTTAAATGTTATGGTAATCTTTTTATTAGGCGTTAATTAGCATGAAGAAGCTTATTACTGTAATATATTTAAAATCGAATCATCATCTATCAACTCATAACTTTGCACGTAAGTACAGCAGTTCAAGTTGCCATACTGAATTAGCAATTCAAATCCCATAGTAGTAGAGGTAGTAAAAGTATTAGAAGTAACTGGAGAGATTAGGCTTCGAAGATTTTATTCAAGAAGTATAATTCAGTGAGGTAAATTTAGAAAGATAGAGGTGATGAGGAATTCAGAAGGTTATAATTTGACAGAACACAAAGAGTAAATGCACCTGCGCCATTGCAAACGATTTTGAGCCATGTCACTCACTATATTTTGGTTTTACTTATTCGTAGCATAGCTAAGAATATATTTCAGGAGCAACTAGATAAACAGTTAGGCGACCATGTAAGTGATTCCCATCCGGAGGCAGCTTCGAATGATATCACAAAAGCTTTGGAAACAGCAGTTATATCTTCTAGTAAGGTAAACCATACGGCTAAGAAGAAGCTGTGGATCTCAGTAGCATCCACCGAACTGATGGATGCTCGAAAACACATCCCACCTGGCTCTGAACATGATGAAGAACGAAGTAAGCTTAGGCGCATGCTGATAAAAAGCCTACGCAACGACCGTGAACAGTGGTGGGTGGCAAAAGCGATGGAAAAGGCAGAGGCAATAGGCAACAGTAGAAAACTTATTATTTTTTCTCAATCCAGCAGATTGGAGAGATGGACAGAACACTTTAGGGATCAGTTCAGCTGGCATTCAGCCACACTTCGGTTGCCCACGATCTCCAGTCATTCTGAATCGGAAACTTTTTCTGTCATGAATGTGGTTAATATTTCACAAAATTATGATTGAGTGGATGGACTATTTGATGCATAGGCAATTTTCTGAATAATGTTTGTGAATATTTAACCAATCAGAAAATTATTTTACACTATTGACTGGTATTAATTAGTTTCAGAATTATATAGTAAATTAGGAAGTAATTAATACCTGTTCCGTCCCAGTTGGGAATTTTCAGAATTGCACGCTTACAACTATTTTTCTTACAAGAAATTGAGGTTATTAGAAGTATAGATTGTGAAGTACAGTCTGTGGTGAAAACAAATTATCTTGTATTGTTAAGTTTTAGATTTGTCATTATATTTGTAATCATTTTTAACAAGAAAACTAGTAAGCAACATTTATTACCAGCAGTTTACTTATATATCTGGTATATTTTTAAGAATTCTAAATGAAATTACAATTTCATATCCAACATATAACAACACTATGCTGTGATAGAATTAACGTGGGGTTAAATTTAAATGTCAAAAATAACTTGAGACATTGTAAGACTAAATTATTCAGACGAATGGAATTTCTAAAGAAATTCTGTTATTGATGTTTTGTTTCTTTTTTTAATATCATGAAAATTTACCGTAAAAATCGATTTCTATCATCAAGGTATAAAGTTGAATAATGAATAATTATAAGAATCCTTATTTTCAATAAAATTCTTAAACCTATGAAATATGTTTTAGGGCAGACTTTTGGAGGTTTGCGTTTTTACACATTTGAAATCATCAATCAATCATTGTTAGACCACCATTAGAAACCTGGAAGCACTGGACGGCCGTCTCGTCCTGGTATACGACTCCTGCTCCCCGCAGGATTCGGGCCCGGGACCTTCGGCATTGTAGGCGAACGCCTTACCATCGGACCACTGGGCCGGCATCCGATGGTCGGATGCGCACTGCTGATGAGTCCCATACCAGGACGGAAATATGTTTTAATTGTTTCACATTTGGTAATACGCTGCAATCCCATATTGCGATAAAGCAGAAACTTAGGTAAACATTAAATAGGACTAAGAATATGTCTAAATAACTTAGATTTAGAATTACCTGATTAATTTGTATCATAGAAATGAGTAAGTTACGGTGAGCTTTACAACATAAGAATATGAACAAAACAGCAATTCGTCTAGAAACGATTTCGTTTTTGTGTTTAGAAAGAAATTGACATTTTGAGGTCATAATTAACAAACTATATACCGTCTGATGAAAAGAATACTTCACAAACTCATACTTATTTTGGCTGTTGATAAAACTAACCAACAGAAGTGTGGTTAATAAATCTATCTTTCAATCTCCTATAACTTCAGTCGCTGCTCATACAGAATAACAACAGTGGCTAGCATTAAAAGTAGAATAGAAAACAGATGAAACTGCTCATGCAAAGGAAAATGGCATGAGTTCATAAAGTCACTCGCTGCAGGATAACATCATACAACTAAAAACTGCATTGATCATGTTATTTTCACGAACTGAAAACCAACTAAATTTGAATGAATTCCAAATCAGTGATTTATAGATACACTGTTTGCTAAAGTAGTTAAAATCTCATCAACTAATAGTGTATTGTAGGATCGCAGATTCAGATTGCTAAGGCATTTATTTCCACATTGAACTGAATATTCCAAGTGTCACTTGGTGTTCATATATCGGTTTTTGACGGAAACCATCTTCATAATAGTATTAAGTTAAGTAAAAACTATGGGATGGAAATGTATTTCCCGGTGCACACACAAAAACAATAAATAATACACTACTATGAAGTGTTACATTCCAATGATATTTACATTTCCAACTGAATGTGTTGTTATTTTAAGCATTAATAAAAACTTTGTTGTACAATTGATATGGAAATTATTTAGTGATAACTACTTTCAACTTGGTACAACAATATAATCAATGAACTTCATGATTTTTTTTTTGAAAAATCAACCATATAAATTTATTTAAATGTAAACAGAACAATTATAGCACATTAGCATTTCTAACTGTGATACAAATAGACTCATTAAGTTAGTTCTTTTTTTAAAAAGTCTAACTTTTCCTGATAAAGTGTTTAACTTTTCTTGATAGTGTTTTAGTGCCTTTGTCTGGAACTGGATTGATTATTTGGTGGGCATATGATTTGATAAAATCTAATCCAGAATGGTATCGTCTTACTTTGGATTCAATGACTACTACATTACTTGAAGTAAACTAAATAAATAATTTTAAAATTCTTTTTTAAAATAAACAATTGAATTATTGCTACAAGTGATGATAATTTTTATGTTTAGTTTTCAATATGAATTCAGGTTTGAAAATTTTTGTAAACCTAAGAATACTTTTAAAGTGGACAATTAACATACATGAAAAACTTCCCAATGGTGCTCAATGATGATTGCGCATTAAGCTAACTGAAGTTTAAAATTTGATCTCAAAAAAGTTGAAAAACTTGGTTTTAGATATATTAATGTGTGAAATCGTCGATGCATATTACTAAAGTCCCTCAGATTAAGTTGTTTTGCTAAGTTAGCACGATCAGGTGAAATTAACAAGATAAAGAAAGAACAAAATACTCAAAATAATGTGGCAGAAATGATAATTAGAATGATTGGAAATTGAAATATGGTTCTAGAAGCCAACGTGAAGGTATATATATACATAAAGGAATACTGAAATCCCATTGATGACTGACTGATACTGAAATCGAAGATTTAATGGAGGATAAATATATCTGGACCGTAGTAACCGATTCTCAGTCATGTCACCCAATATCTTTGCTTAGATCCCAGACAGTTAGTCGGCATCTACTAACAAGGTTTAAACTGCAGTCACCGATTTCATGAACTGACCCCACATTTTGCTTTAGCCATCCTTAGTTTTTTACCAACCTAATCCTGCATACCTTAACAATCTTAGGGATTAAACAGCTGTCCGATATCCCGTTCTTTCAACGATGTTTTGATTGCTTACTGTACTTCGGTAATTTATCACTTAATAGCAGTTACTTAGGTAAGTTAACTTTAAAATCTATGAATATTTGTACAAATTATTTACTTTTGTCTGTTTATATTTTAAGCACAATCAGAGTATTAATTGTTTTTACTCTCTTTTTACCATCATTTTTAGTGGCTTATTGTTTTTCTCATTTTAATAACTGCAAACGCTATAGCAGTTTGGCGAAATATTGATTTCTTTCGTAAAGGTAAACAAAGCGGTTACGATCCTCATAATCCAGATTATATACCAAAAGATGAATTGCAGTCACTTGACGATTTCTTTATTGTATCCTCGGATAGTGTAAATATAAATCGACATCAAATACAAACAAATTTGTAATTAATATGTTTATGTATTAACTTATAAATCTATTGAATTAACACAGTCTAATTATATCATAACATGTTATACAGACATATATACCTTATTTTAAATAAAATGAAGCACTTTTTTACCATCACATTCTTTTCCTTCTATTTTCAATCTATGAACTGGTAATAGATGATATTTTAATGGTAGCTTTATAAGATTTGCCGTGAATTATAAGTGAATACGTTGTAAAATCCCACGAACACTTATCGTGTCCTGACTTAATCAGTTGTAACTGTTCATTATGACTGATATTATTTAAAGATGTTATGTTTTTCAATGTAGTGCATACAGTGAAGAATAAAAATTAACATTGTTGAAACGATTCATTGCAAATGAAATTATTTCACAACCTAATAACATACAACAAGTTTTTTAACTGAATTTGTTTTGGCATTATACTAAACTAGGTACAGAACTCGAACTAAGACAAAATAGTATCTAGAGCTGGTTGTTTTTTTAGAGTTTCCTTATTTAATATCAGCCTGCGCTGAAAACTAACTTGTTATATCAAAGGAATAAAGTAAAAATAAGTGTTGCTATGTCCCATATCAATTGATACACATACATACGAAGATATAAACGAAATAGGACGTATTAAGTATTATTTCTAGCATTCGCAAAATGTGATATGAAAGGGGTAATGCTGCAGTTTGTTCAAACTTATAAGTTTCAAGCATTGTTATTTAGCTTTTAGCATAAAAGTTTCTTAATCAATTATTGTTTTTAATCTGGGAATCGCTATCTAACCAAGCATTATGAACGTATATCGTGAGTGCATTATTTTGCAGAACGAAAGACATGCTCCGTATAAAATTTTGAGAGAATGAATAAAATTTAAACAAAGTGATTGCTATTTTTCTGAAGAAGTATTCGAAACTATTATTTAATAAAATATTTGATTACTTACAATTCAAAGCAATTTATTTTTCTTTGAAATCATGAATCGTTCAAAGTTAGGTCACGATTAGAAACCTGGATGTACTGGACGACCGTTTCGTCCTGTTATGAGACTTGTCAGCAGTGTGCATCCACAACTGCTACTCACGGGATCCGAATCCAGGACCTTCGGCCGTCTAACCTCTGGACCGTTAGACCGGCATCTAACTATGTTAATGTATAACTGTGATCAATCCACGATCTTGCGCAACCTCATCCGCTGTTTCTAATGTTGGTCTAACATTATCGATTCCTGATTGCAAAATAACTCAAAATCCCCCACAACCCTGTAATGCAGAGTTATTTTTCCACTATAGAATTTTCAAACTGCATTCAATGCAATAATCGAACAATAAGTGATTTACATGAAAATGATCAAACTAAATCAAGTATATTATAAACTGGGCTATTGTCATTTAAATTAACACAAAAAACTAATGACTTATTAAGAATAAATGAAATCAATGCAAATGTTAAGGTTGACGTGTTGATATCAATCTCTTCAGCAGCATTTCTATATAGATTGTGATGGTGTATTGGTTTATTCAAATTCATTTCAAACCTTGTTTTATGAACATGAAAATGGCAAAGATTTAGTTATTTTAACACTGGTCAATTTCAACATTTCCACAGCAGATAAAGTATTTACACTAAACAATAACAGTTTAAATATGTTCATAAAGAGCCTAAAATCGAAACACTCAGAAAATCCAACAATTAACTTTATCAATAGGTACAGGATGGCTGAAATACCGAACTGATTGCAGTTAGACATGTACATCATTGGATTCCGACTCAGCAGTCTAGATATTACGGGTTCGTACGCGAGACTGAAAGTCCAGAGTTCGATTTCGGATGACATGACCGCACGTGTGTACTTTTGAGGAATCCCATACTACAGTAAGACGGTCAGTGCCTTTAGGTTTCTAACGATTGGCTGACGTTGATCAGTTGGTAATTCCAATTAAATTCAACAATCTCCACAACCCTATCCTGACAATACTGAAAATACTTTGATGTTTATATGCTTCGCAATTGGATTATTTATCATTAACAAAAATAATTTACTGAATCTTATCGTTGACTGTAAAATAAATAATATCTTTTACGAGATGGTTTTGCAGATCTTTTAATCTTCAGTCTAGTTTTCTACAAAGCATTTTTTCTAACCAGTCAAGAATGATATCGTTAGCCTGATACTTCTGGAAATGAGTAAAAAGAAGTCAAAATAGGATTTCTTATATGAAATGTTTCCAGAACATTCCTTTAAATGTAAAAATTAAATCTATGTGATCTATGCCGTATGCTGTATGAAAGTTGAAATCGTAATACGTATGGTAGAGTTAATGGGATTTAAAAGATGAATTCAAAAGTTACCTTTAAATAAGTTGATGACCTGAGTCAACTATGTGCCAAAAAACTGAGAATCTTTATTCACTACCAGTTACGCAACTATCAAGCGAGGTTTTTGAAATCGGGACTCCGAAGTCATAATAATGTGTTCGAAAAAACTGGTTCCACCCGAGGTGAAATGATAAATGCACGTTAGAGTTGTGGAAAAATGATGTTATTAATCCAGAATATAATTGATGTTCTAAAATAGTTGCATTATTGTTTTCGATAAAACAAAAACTAAGCGATTATTAGCGAATATGGACTACACTGTACCAACTCTCGAGGTAGATATTAAATGTAACATGAGACCTGAAGCTAATTTTAAATAAGACACCTTAAGTATCACTGATAATTACCTTACAGAAACTGACTAACTGATGTGATTGTAGTGTTTTAGGTTGTTGAGTTTCATTGAAATCATAAACTGATTAATGTTAGGTTACCATTAAGAAACTGGAAGCACTGGATAGTCATTTGTTCCCAGTATACGAATCATCAGCAACATGCATCTGTCTTGCGCAACCTCATTCATTGTCTTAAGTTGGTAACTGCATATTAATATTCGGATCCATGGAGGGTGCACACGTCCGGTAAATCACATTCGAAAATGAAACATGTTTTGTACTCCTTAGTTTTCAATGGTAGAGAAGCTAAAGTCAGTTAGTAGTGTAAGCTGTCTTAAAATGGAGCAATCTTTACAAAACACACTCCAGTAAGGAACTGACTGTTGAGTTGGAATTTAATAGTACAATGTTTAAATCACAATGAAATTACTGTGTGCTATCAAATCCAGTTGTAAAATCCTAAGAAGCAACGAAGCAAATGCCTAGAATTTCTTTTCTTAACAATATACAGTATTATTATTTCCACTCAAAATAAAAATAATGAACAAAACAAGTTTTATATTTAAATATTATACAGTTGGTCAGATTTTTCAAATTCTAGATCCCATTATCATAGTCCATCATGTGAAACGTGACAACTTAATGGCCTACTAGCTAATTAACAACCAACCATCGTCATATTAGACTAACAATAAACTCTCCACTAATGAAAACTAAAACATGATGTGGAAATCAATTCAAACCTCATTGTTTAAATATCGCTTTTCTCGTAAGTAACAAGTTTTGTCAATACATTAGATATAAAATACGTAGTTTAGGACTTGTGATCACTCAGTCTCCAAATAGAATAGGCTTATAGGCTAAGTACTGTGAATCTGATGTAATAGTTTAATAGATTTATCACGAACTTTTTGAACTATGCTCACAACTTTAACAAGCTAAAAAATTGTAAACTTTTGTTTTGAAAACTTATTTTTGCTAAGTGCCTTTCATTCATAAATATTAATGAACCGTTGTTGTGTTTTTGTCTGGCTTTGTCATCAACAAAAACCTAATACCGCAACCAATATAGTGAGAAAACTGTCTTGAAAATTTCAAACGTACTCTTTTAATACTTTCGCGAATAACATGTATATATAATAATAGACGATGACTTTAAATAATCATGAGGTATTAGACTGATTACTGGCTAACATTCTAGGGACAGTAACTTTGCAGAATTTCAAGAGAAGTGACACCAATCAAATTTTATGAAGCTTTTACGTTAGTCTGATTTGCAAGTCAATATGTAAAATAAAATTCATCAACTTTATCCGCCATCCTCAAATCAGGGTTTGCAAGAACTTCCTTATATCTCTATCAAAAACTGATAAAATGACAACTAAATGAAGGGTTTTTGGAAAATCTTCCAAAGTTTATTTACAACTCATAGAATATCAATTTCAGTACTATAAAAACAAAAGCCTTATCACTGAGACTGAAGTTTTACATTCCAAAAGTGAGTAGAATCAGTCAGCTATAGTATTAGAGGTGGTAGAAGTATGGGTGGTAATTGAAGAAATTAGTGTTCTAAGACATCATTCAAGAAGTACGATCCGGTGAAATTAACCTGAAAAGAGAAAGATAAATGTGAAGAATTTTTAGGATTAGGATTTGAGAAGCAAAATAATGATTGCACCTCCGTCATTGCAAACAGTTTTGAGCCATGTCATTTAAGGTCCCTAACAATCGGTTACTGTCGTCTCGCGAACCCCACTCAGGTAGTCGACAGTTACCAACATGACACAATACAGTTTTCAGTGAATTCATGATTCTGCTCCATGTTTTAGTTTGGCCGCCCCTAGCATTATTCCAACCTACTCCTAAACTAGGAAACATCACTAAGCGATTCAGTTGGTAGTTGGGCATTCATTCACAACCACCTCAACTGATGAAGATTCACTTCTTCATCAACTGACCTGCCGTCCTTACCTAGCGCCCGTTTCCTAACAACAGCATTCAGTCAGTCAGATGCAACGTAGAACTTTGTACATAAGTACATCAGTTCATGTTGCCATACCACATCAGCACAGAGAAGTAATCGTCAATTCAAATCCAATAGTAGAAGAGGTAGTAAAAGTATTAGAAGTAATCGGAGAGGTTAGGATTAGAAGATATTATTCAAGAAGTATGATTCAGTGAGAAAAGTTTAGAGAGTCGAAACTAGGGGGTTGAGGAAACCAGAAGATTAGCATTTGAGCGAACACAGAGAATAAATGCACCGACGCCATTGCGAACGATTTTGAGCCATGTCATTCAAGGTCTCTAACCATCGATTATTATCATCTCGCGGACCCCAACCAGGTAGTCGACAATTACCGACATGGCTCAGTCCACTAGTCAATGACTTCATGGATTTCTGCCATGTTTT